TCAGGTCTTTTGTCTCCCTAGGTAGGTTTATTCCTAGGTATTTTATTCTTTTTGTTACAATTGTAAATGGGAGTGCTTCCTTAATTTCTCTTTCACATTTTTCATCATTAGTGTACAGGAATGCAAGAGATTTTTCTGCATTAATTTTATATCCTGTGACTTTACCAAATTCATTGATTAGCTCTAGTAGTTTTCTGGTGGCATGATTAGGATTCTCTATGTATAGTATCATGTCATCTGCAAACAGTGACAGTTTTACTTCTTCTTTCCCAATTTGTATTCCTTTTATTTCTTTTTCTTCTCTGATTGCCATGGCTAGGACTTCCAAAACTATGTTGAATAATAGTGGTGAGAGTGGGTATCCTTGTCTTGTTCCTGATCTAAGAGGAAATGGTTTCAGTTTTTCACCATTGAGAATGACGTTTGCTGTGGGTTTGTCGTATATGGCCTTTATTATGTTGAGGTAGGTTCCCTCTATGCCCACTTTCTGGAGAATTTTTATTATAAATCAGTGTTGAATTTTGTCAAAAGCTTTTTCTGCATCTATTAAGATGATCATACGGTTTTTCTTTTTCAATTTGTTAATGTGGTGTATCACATTGATTGATTTGCATATATTGAAGAATCCATGCATCCCTGGGATAAATCCCACTTGATCATGGTGCATGATCCTTTTAACGTGTTGTTGGATTCTGTTTGCTAGTATTCTGTTTGCTAGTTGAGGATTTTTGCATCTATATTCATCAGTGATTTTGGTCTGTAATTTTCTTTATTTGTGATATCTTTCTCTGGTTTTGGTATCAGGGTGATGGTGGCCTCATAGAATGAGTTTGGGAGTGTTCCTTCCTCTGCAATTTTTTGGAAGAGTTTGAGAAGGATGGGTGTTAGCTCTTCTCTAAATGTTTGACAGAATTCACCTGTGAAGCCATCTGGTCCTGGACTTTTGTTTGTTGTAAGGTTTTTAATAACAGGTTTAATTTCATTACTTGTGATTGGTCTGTTCATATTTTCTATTTCTTCCTGGTTCAGTCTTGGAAGGTTATACCCTTGTAAGAATTTTGTCCATTTCTTCCAGGTTGTCCATTTTATTGGCATAGAGTTGCTTGTAGTAATCTCTTAGGATGCTTTGTATTTCTGCGGTGTCTGTTGTAACTCCTCTTTTTTCATTTCTAATTTTAATGATTTGAGTCCTCTCGCTCTTTTTCTTGATGAGTCTGACTAATGGTTTATCAATTTTGTTTTTCTTCTCAAAGAACCAGCTTTTAGTTTTATTGATCTTTGCTATTGTTTTCTTGGTTTCTATTTCATTTATTTCTGTTCTGATCTTTATGATTTCTTTCCTTCTGCTAACTTTGGGTTTTGTTTGTTCTTCTTTCTCTAGTTCTTTAGGTGGAAGGTTAGATTGTTTATTTGAGATGTTTGCTGACTCTTGAGGTAGGACTGTATTGCTATAAACTTCCCTCTTAGAACTGCTTTTGCTGCATCACATAGGTTTTGGATTGTCGTATTTTCATTGTCATTTGTTTCTAGGTATTTTTTGATTTCCTCTTTGATTTCTTCAGTGATCTCTTGGTTATTCAGTAACGTATTGTTTAGCCTTCATCCGTTTGTGTTTTTTATGTTTATTTCCCTTAATTGATTTCTGATCTCATAACGTTGTGGTCAGAAAAGATGCCTGATATGATTTCAATTTTCTTACATTTACTGAGGCTTGATTTGTGACCCAAGATGTGATCAATCCTGGAGAATGTTCCATGTGCACTTGAGAAGAAAGTGTAATCTGCTGTTTTTGGATGCAATGTCCTATTAATATCAATTAAATCTATCTGGTCTATTGTGTCATTTAAAGCTCTTGTTTCCTTACTGATTTTTTGTTTGGATGATCTGTCCATTGGTGTAAGTGAGGTGTGAAATTCCCCCACTATTATTGTGTTATTGTCAATTTCCTCTTTTATAGCTGTTAGCAGTTGCCTTATGTATTGAGGTGCTCCAATGTTGGGTGCATTTATATTTATAATTTTTATATCTTCTTCTTGGATTGATCCCTTGATCATTATGTAGTGTCCTTCTTTGTCTCTTGTAACGTTCTTTATTTTACAATCTATTTTGTCTGATACGAGTATTGCCACTCCAGCTTTCTTTTGATTTCCATTTGCATGGAATATCTTTTTTCCATCCCCTCACTTTCAGTCTGTATGTGTCCCTAGGTCTGAAGTGGGTCATTGGTAGACAGCATGTATATGGGTCTTGTTTTTGTATCCATTCAGCGAGCCTGTGTCTTTTGGTGGGAGCATTTAATCCATTCACGCTTAAGGTAATTATCGATATGTATGTTCCTATTACCATTTTCATAATTGTTTGGGGTTTGTTTTTATAGACCCTTTTCTTCTCTTGTGTTTCCCACTTAGAGAAGTTCATTTAGCATTTGTTGTAGAGCTGGTTTGGTGGTGCTGAATTCTCTTAGCTTTCACTTGTCTGTAAAGCTTTTGATTCTTAGCTTTTGCTTGTCTGTAAAGCTTTTGATTTCTCCATCGAATCTGAATGAGATCCTTGCCAGGTAGAGTAATCTTGGTTCTAAGTTCTTCCCTTTCATCACTTTAAGAATGTCATGCCACTCCCTTCTGTCTTGTAGAGTTTCTGCTGAGAAATCAGCTGTTAACTTTATGGGAGTTCCCTTGTATGTTATTTGTCGTTTTTCCCTTGCTGCTTTCAATAATTTTTCTTTGTCTTTAATTTTTGCCAATTTGATTACTATGTGTCTCGGCGTGTTTCTCCTTGGGTTTATCCTGTATGGGACTCTCTGTGCTTCCTAGACTTGGGGGGCTATTTCCCTTCCCATGTTAGGGAAGTTTTTGAGTATAATCTCTTCAAATATTTTCTCAGGTCCTTTCTCTCTCTCTTCTCCTTCTGGGACCCCTATAATGTGAATGTTGTTGTGTTTAATGTCCCAGAGGTCTCTTAGGCTGTCTTCATTTCTTTTCATTCTTTTTTCTTTATTCTGTTCCACAGCAGTGAATTCCAGCACTCTGTCTTCCAAGTCACTTACCCGTTCTTCTGCCTCAGTTATTCTGCTACTGGTTCCTCCTAGTGTATTTTTCATTTCAGTTTTTGTATTGTTCATCTCTGTTTGTTTGTTCTTTAATTCTTCTAGGTCTTTGTTAAACATTTCTTGCATCTTCTTGATCTTTGCCTCCATTCTTTTTCTGAGGTCCTGGATCATCTTCACTATCATTAGTATGAATTCTTTTTCTGGAAGGTTGCCTATCTCCACTTCACTTAGTTGTTTTTCTGGGGTTTTATCTGGTTGCTTCATCTGGTACATAACCCTCTGTCTTTTCATCTTGTCTATCTTTCTGTGAATGTGGTCTTTGTTCCACAGGCTGAAGGACTGTAGTTCTTCTTGCTTCTGTTTTCTGCCCGCTGGTGGATTAGGCTATCTAAGAGGCTCGTATAAGTTTACTCTCTACTTACTTGATGAATTGCCTTTTTAACAAACACGGGAACTGAGAATCCCTAAAGACATAAGTGGACTCCAGATAATCTTACAACAGAGTCCAACTGAGATCCCTTTCCTCTTTTGTGGAAGAAGGAAAAGGAGGTGGTCTATTTTCATTTCCTCTGCATCTAAATGATGCAGCCAGGGAGGCAGCATGGTGGAGGGAAAACGAAATAAAATTGGAGGCGGGATCCCTGGGCTCTGGTCTCGACACTTCACAGCTTGGGCTTCTGTATTTCCAGTTTTACAGGGACTGGGTGTTTCCCTAGCATCAGTTGTTCAAGTATACACTGTCATGATTTCTGCTCTATTAAATATTTCACTCAACATCTTTCTTTGCCTAAATTTACTATTTGTGAAATCACCTGTTGATGTGCTCATACACATTAAAATTAAAAGTTCACTCAGGTAACACTTATGATCATCCCCATACTACCAGTGACACACTCTGGGAAATACTGAATTAGCTCTTTAAGGTCGCTTAAGGTTTTAAAAGTGTTCGCTTCTTTTTGCACAGCAAAGTAAACCACCAACAAAAGGAAAAGACAAACTACTGAATACGAGAAAATATTTGCAAATGATATGACCAATAAGGGATTAATATCCAACATATATAAAAAAGCATAGGTCAAAATAGCAAATAATTTTTAAAATGTGCAGAAGAACTGAATAGACATTTTTCCAAAGAAGAAATGCAGGTGGCCAACATGCACATGAAAAGATGCTCAATATCGCTAATCATCAGGGAAATGCAAATCAAAGCTATAATGAGATATCACCTCACACCTGTCAGAATGGCTGGTACCAAATAGTCTACAAATAACAAATATTGGAGAGGATGTGGAAATAAGGGAACCCTAGTGTACACTGTTTGTGGGAATGTAGATTGGTGCAGCCACTGTGGAAAACAGTATGGAGGTGTCTCAAAAAACTAAAAATAGAACTACCATGTGACCCAGCAATTCCACTCCTGGGTATATATCCAAAAAAACAAAGAAACTAATTTGAAAAGATACATACACCCCAATACTCATAGCAGAACTATTTATAATTGCAAAGACATGGAAACGACCTAAATGTCTGTCAACAGATGAATGGGTAAAGAAGATGTGGAGTATATATATACAATGGAATACTATTCAGCCATAAAAATGAACACAATTTTGCCATTTGCAGCAACGTGAATGGACTTGGAGAGCATTATGCTAAGTGAAATAAGTTCAGACAGAGAAAGATAAATACTGTTATGTTATCACTTATATGTGGAATCTAAAAAATAGAACTGGTGAATATAACAAAAAAGAAGCAGACTCACAGATATAAGAGAGCAAACTAGGAGTTACCAGTGGGGAGGGGCAAATATAGGGGTGGGGAATGGGAGGTACGAACTATTAGGCGTAAGATAAGCTCAAGGATGTATTGCACAACATGGGGAATATAGCCAATAATTTTGTAATAACTGTAAATGGAAAGTAACCTTTAAAAATCGTAAAAAAAATTTAAAAAAAATTTAAGTGTTTGCTTCTATAACTAAGAAAACTCAAACAAGCAGAACTGATCATAGGAGAGAGAACAGGAGCTTGAGGATGACCTACTCTAGCAGCATCACTCCAGACTGTGCCCTGAACTACAGAGCAGAGGTTTGGTTGGTGAGAGGGTTGGAATCTGGATCCGATTAAGCCCCAATGTTCTTACCAATACGACTCTGGAGCAGAGCTGGGCCCCCTGGAATCCTGGGTCTGTGGACGAACTCTTCAGTGGCCAGGTGACTGTCATCACCATTACAGTCGTCCGTTGTTTCCTCAGGCTCCCAGCCCCCTTCCTCCTGCTCATCCACCTCCATGTCACTGTCCCCCAGCCTGGGGAGAGCCACAGCCTCTCCTGGGCCATCTGAGGCTCTGATGGCCGTCCGAGCCCTCACCAGGGCCTCCAGCTCCTCATAGAAGGGGCAGGTCCCCGGCGGGTGGCTGCTCTTGGCTTTCCGGTAATTCCGTAGGAGATTTTTGACTCTGTAGCGACACTGCTCCAGGGTCCGCAGGAAGCCCTGTGCCCTCAGCCGCTCTGCAATGGCCCGGTACACCTGGCGGTTCTGGTGACAAGTCCGGAGTTTTTCAGAAAAAGGAGACTCACTCAAAATTGCCAGGAAAGTCTTAGTCTCCTCATAGCTCCAGTGCACACCTGATACTTTCACATCCTCCACGTCCCACTGATATCGTTCTTCCCAGGCCTTGGAATCCCTCCAGGCCAATGCCTGAGCTGGTTTTGTTTGCTCAGTATCCCAGCTGTAATCTTCAGGGTTCTTTTGTCCAGACTTTACAAATCTTGGACCCCAAAATTCTGGTCCTTGCTCTTGCTGGGAGATGACGGTTGGTTTTAAAACTGGAACTCCTATACAAAAGGAAGAAGAGACATGATTAAGTAGAAAGGATCTGTTGAGCAAGGCGTTTGTCTAAGAAGTCCTTGAAACATTTGCCTGCAAGAAACTAAAGAGAAATTCCCAAGCTAATCCCTTAAGAGGTCTGGAAAGAAAGGGAGAGGTAACTAGAGGTAATCTCATCAGAAATATATTGACCTGTATGCTTTGTTCATTTGCTTTTTGGTTGGTGTTATGAAATACATCATGCAAAAGAGTGACTGTTACTGATTCACAGATGGGCATATGCCCTAAATTAGTCAAATCAGAATAAATTTAACAGTTGGAGGAAAGGTTGTGTGTGGTGTGAGTCTCTCTTGCTAGGAACTTGAGGTCTCAAATGCCGTTGGCATCTACCTTTTGCCTACGACAAAAAATACCTTTAATATGAAGCTGACACAAAGAATGGCAGAGCAGACAGAAAGAAAGAACCCAGGTCCGCTGTGAAGTTGCTGAGCCAATTTGTACTGTGGTTGGAGCATACCCTCCTCTGGACTTCCAATACTGTGAGAAAATAAATTTCCATATTTCTCAAAACACTTAGCTGTGTTTAAAGGACAAATGTCCCAATAGCTCCCAACCACAGCAAATAGGAAGGCTTTAATTAAAATAGATATTTGAAGAAAACTAGATGAAAGAGTTTAGAGCTAAAAGAGGCTTAAGGATTCTGTAGTTCAGCATTTCCCAAAGGTTGTTCCTTTGAACACTATTTTCCCCAGATATCATGTGTAAAAAGGGCACACTTTTCATCATGTGTAAAAAGGATACACTGCCCAGCAAGTAGCCAACAGCTCCTAGTGTCTTACTTTACTGCCGTGAGTCAGACCTGCCACTGTCTCTCTACCTTATCCCACTCTCACGTCTAACTCTCCTCTTACTGATCCCAGGCTCCATGGGGAAATGTTCATTATTGTTTGACTTCCTGTGAAAATGTGCCTAAAGAGAAAGGGGTCTGTGCTGGTCATAAGGGCTTCAAGTATTTTGAGCCCTGTGATATTTATTTCTCATTGTGGTTTAAACACGTCAGTCTCCTGGGCTTAGTTCACTTGACTCTGCCCCGAGAGATGGACCTTGTTTGATGCTGAAAAGACTGGGTTTCTGGGCCAGCAGGCTGGGCGCAGCCCTGGGACGGTGGTGAATGTACTGAGGAAATAAAAGATAATGAGCGCTGAGAGGGCAGGCTCTTGGCAGCCAGCCTGCCGGCCCAGAAAACCACGCCCCACACCCCGTCCCTGCTGCCACAGTGCTGGCCACAAAGAGCACGTCTTCTCCCTAGGTCTGAAATTCCAGAGACTTCACAGAGCCATGAGTCTTAGGGAGTGATGAAACACTCCTTGGGAACTGAGTGTACTGGAAACCCGAGAGTATCTTATCCAGAGGGCACTGTTTCCTTACCCAGGGGCAGGCCGTTCCCACAGCTGTCTCCTGGAGGGTCCTTGCAGAACTCCTTCTCAGCGTGTCTGCCGGGACCCAGAGCTTCCTGCGGGATGTACAACAGAAGGACCTGAAATGTCACTGACCCTTCAAAACAGCCTGGGAGTCCCACCAGGCCCCAGGAAATATAATGGACACAGCGATACCATGTGTGAGGCTAGCATCCTAAGGAGCAGCTTGACCCAGGAGAGGCCCAGTGGACAGGGGATGAGGGGCAGAGAGAGAAGAGAGGAGCAGGGCAAGGGCACAGGAGAAGTAATGACAGGAAAGGAGGAACAAACAGCAGCTTACCTGAGACTCCACTGTCACCTCCCAATCTCCAACGCTTCCCATCTTTGGTAGAGTAGGGACTCGGGGAGTGAGGACACCTGAGGAGGAGGAAATATCTCTGAAACCCAAGCTCTGGTTCCCAAAAACCACCTCCCTCTCAGGTCCAGCTTTCCTAAACCCTTGCTTGGATCAAACTGAGACTATTCCTGTAGCCAGTGCAGACTTCCACTTTCTCTCCTTCTAGAGTATCTAGCTCCTAAGCTGCCATGTGTGAGATGTCAGCCCTGAACTCCTACGATCACCAGCCTGCCCCAGGCCCAGCCTGAACCTGCTACATGATTCAGCTACAGTGGGGTATGCTAACGCCATTGGGAGCTTCATCTTCTTACTTCTCAGGGTGTCCATCAGACACTGCTGTAGCCCTTGCCTTGAATTCTGCATACCCCTCCTCAGGCACCCTTCCTCACCCCCCCACCCCTTACCCCTCTTCCCTGATGGTCCCTGACTCTTGGTACTCACCACTCTCTTTCAAGGGCTGTGGTGCCATCTTGGTGTCTAGATGCTTGGGAAGGTCAGGACATGGATTCTTCACCCACTGTTTCTGGGACTGTCCCTCGGGCCAGTGATCTGCTGTCCACAGCTGGAAGCTCTGAGATTCCTTCACTGTCTTTAAGGACCTGGTCTCTTCTGCACACAGTTCCAGTTCCTACACACAGACAGCCAAAATTCCCAACCGTAAGTTCAATAACTGGTAGGGCAGGGCATGTTCTTTTGAGTACAGCTGTGGTTCAGAGGTTAACAGGCTCTTTTTAAAAACCAAAGATAGCTTAACGTTTGACGACAAAGCCGTCAGACTAATTTCAGTAAACATACCAGCATTTATACCACCAAATGAGTACTTTCTATTCAACACAGAAAGGCTATGCAAGTGTCTAAATGAGGCCACTATTACTCAAAACATTTTTGAATCATAACAAGATAAATTATGTAAAATTTTTGTGACATTAAAAAAAAAAGATAAAAGTTAACCAGGTATATGTTAAAAGGCAAAAGGAAGCATAAAAGCAGATACAACTATAACTCTAAATGTAATTGCTCTAAATATTCCTGCTGAAAGGCAAAGAAAATTCAAAGAATTGTTGATGGAATCTTAAAATGAAATGAAAGAATGTGCTGTTTCAGAAAGGCACATCTGATCTCAAAACAGAAAGATACGCAGAGATAAGGCACTGTAACTCAAAAAGAAAACAGAAGTGGCAATTTTAATTTCAATGTAGAAGTTTAGGCAAAAAAGTACTCAGAGATATGGAGAATATACATATAATAAAAGGAAATAATCAATTAAGAGATAACATTACCCAATTCAGCTCTATCAATCATAAAGCTAATTTCTTATCTCTCTCTCAATTGGTTCCAAATTCAGCGGTAGTGGTTGAGATGTTATTTCCTGGCCCTAAAACCCCAACAATAGAACAATCTCATTGTGTCATAGAAACACCTAACTTTAAAAAAAGTATTACAATTTTTTCAATGGGCATTTTCAATACTCACATCGTTCAAAAATAGAAAATATACACAAGGATATAATCAGTGAAAATACCCCATCCCCACCTGTCTCCATTCCACCTGCCTAGTATCTTCCTGGACTCCTCACCACAGGTAAACACGGTTCTTCTGCATCCTTTCAAGTTTCTTTATATACATGCAACTGTAAATATATTTTCTTATTTTCCCCATTTTTACACAAAAGATAGCAACTATATATATATACATTGCCCTGAACCTTATTATTTTTACCCAAAATAATATCCATCTTCATCAAACTTTATTATTGAGTTTGCCAAACTTCACTCCAAAAATCTTTTGGCCAATCTGAAAACTCAAATCCGCTCTCACAGAGAGGAACTTTATCTTTGAGAAGATATATAAGAATGGGCCATGATCATCAAAAGCCATTCCCAGTGAGGGGACCCAACAATGTCCTGTGTGGTTCACAGAGAGAAAACACCTGTTTATCAACATTTTAAGAAAACAATAACTTTGTGTTCAAGATAAAAATAACTTTGTTATAGTTACAATCTTATAACCCACAGAAGTACTGTGGACTGGACTCAACAATAATCCTCACTCCCAGCCCCAGCTCCTCCAACTATTGCTACACCTAAGCAAAGATTCTCATTCTGTGGACGGTCATTGTAGACACAGAAGAAGTAGATTCAAGTGACAATCAGGAGGCAAAAATTCAGCAGGATATTGGTTGGGGTAAGGTGAATTAAGAATCCATCAAATGTGGTACATATATACAATGGAATACTACTCAGCCATAAAAAAGAATGAAATAACGCCATCTGCAGCAACAGGGATGGACCTAGAGATGATCATACTAAGTGAAGTAGGTCAGAAAGAGAAAGACAAATACTGTACAATATTACTTATATGTGGAATCTAAAATATGACATAAATGAACCTATCTACGAAGCAGAAACAGACTCACAGACATAAAGAACAGACTTGTGGTTGCCAAAGGGAGGGGGGTCAGGGGAGAGATGGATTGGGAGTTTGGGGTCAGCAGATGCAAACTATTATATATAGAATGGAAAAACAACAAGGTCCTACGGTACAGCACAGGGAACTATATTCAGTATCCTGTGATAAACCATAATGGAAAAGAATATGAAAAAGAATGTATATATATGTATAACTGAGTCACTTTGCTGTAGAGCAGAAATTAACACAACATTGTAAATCAACTGTACTTGAATTTTTTTTTAAAAATCCATCAAAAATGCCTGTGCACCACACTAAAACCTGCACACGGATGTGTATAGCCACTTTATTCATAATTGCCAAAACTTGGAAGCAACCAAGAGGTCCTTGAGTAGGTGAACAGACAAATAAACCATGGTACATCCAGACAATGGAATATTATTCAGCACTGAGAAGAAATGAGCTATCAAGCCATGAAAAGGCATGGAGGAACCTTAACGCACATTACAAATTGAAAAAAGCCAATCTGAAAAGGCTATACACTGTATGAGTCCAACTATATGACATTCTGGAAAAGGCAAAACTATGAAGATAGTAAAAAGATCTGTGGCTTTGTGGTTGCCAGAAATTGGGGGGAAAGGAGGGATGAATAGGTGGAGCACAGATGATTTTTAGGGCAGTGAAACTATTCTGTACAATACTATGATGGTGGACACATGCCGTTATACATTTGTCCACATCCATAGAATGCACAGCACCCAGAGTGAACCCTAACGTAAACATGGACTGTATTTCTGTCTACCTACATTACTGCTGTAGGCATCCAAAGAGATCACATATGTAAAAAGATTCTGTTAAGTATAAAACACAATACAAATTAAATGACTGTGAATATGGTACTGAGAGGCGGCTTAGAGCAGTGGTTACAAATCCTGGCTTCAGAATCAGACTGCCTGAACTCAAATCCTGCCTCTACCATCTAGTAGCCAGTGACCTTGAGCCAACTACCTTCCTCTCCCTTGCTTCAGTCTCCTCATGGGTAAAATTAGGCTAACGGTATCTATCTCATTTAACTGGTGACAGGATTAAATGAGTTAATACATGGAAAGCACTTAGTACAGTGCCTGGTACATGGTACTGTTCGATAAATGTCAGATGCTTGATAATATTATTATTGTGGTTTTGGCAATTATCAACCTAGCTGCAGCCCCACTACCTTGCCTGACCTGTTCCTTGGAGAACAGACTATTTGCCTCACCCGCTGTCCCGCGGCCCGCGCCTCTCGGTGCCAATCCTCCACCAGGGCCACCGCCTCCTCGCCGCTCTCAGGGTGGCGTGCCTGTACCCAGGCCTGGACCTCCCTGGGTAAGATAGTCAGGAACTGCTCCAGCACCAGCAACTCCAGTATCTGCTCTTTGAGGCGGATCTCCGGCCTCAGCCAGTGACAGCAGAGTGCCCAGAGCTGGCTGAAGGCCTCATGGGGTCCCGCCGCATCCCTGTACCGGAACTGCCTGAAGCGCTGGCGGGAGGCCTCGGGGCCAGGGACAGGGTCATGGTCCTTCTCCCGGGGTTGGGAGTCTGGTCTCCACGAGTCCTCCTCCAGCTTGACAATCAAGAGTTCTTCAGGCTCTGGGAGCGGGGAGGCCTGGGCCCGGGCTTCCAGGGCTACAGCCATGGTCTCTCCTGGATGCCTCCTTTCAGCTGCCCGTCCTTGTCCAGCGTCTTCCTGCATCTGTAGTGTGTCCTCAAGGGGCTCCTGGGAGAGGAAATGCTCCCCCAGCCTCTGAAGGCAGAAAGACAAGGGACAGTGTGAGCAAGAGGACCAGCAGCCTCACCTTCCCCACTCCCCACACACCTTCCACTGCTCTGCGTGGGGTGGGACTGCTAAGAAACGCCCTTTCCTGCGTGGGGTGGGACTGCTAAGAAACGCCCTTTCCCGTAAGCGGGAAGTTAGTCCACAATCTACCACCAAACCTGCCGCCGGCACACCTTGGAGGAAGACAGCACAGTATTAAATCCTCCGAGACACCCTAAACGCCTGAGCTGGGCATCAAGGCTGCCATGATTGGTCCCAGCCCAGCCCTCCTCCCTCTACATGTGTCCCAAGTCTGACCTTCCCTCAAGTTGCTTTCCAAATGTCACCCCCTCCATAAGGTCTTTCTTCCTGGGCCTTAAGCTTTCCTCTAAGAGTGCTCTCCTCGCAAAATCCCTCACTCTACACTCTCCCTTGGTCATCCCACCCATTTGCCATTTTTCACCATCTCTAAACTGATGACTCCCAAAACTCCAGCCGAGACCTGTCTCCAGACTCCAAAGTCCAACCACCTACAAGGCATTTCCACTTGACTCTTTCTTAGGCGCCTCCAACTCAATGGGTCAAAAACTGAATTCATCATTTTCTCTTGAAAACCTTTCCCTCTTCTGGAGCTCTCCATCCAGTGAAGGCACCACCTTCCATCAAGGTACCCATGCCAGAAACGTGGTCATCATATTTTTCCAAATTTCCCACATCCATTCATCACCAAGCTGGGTCTTCTTGGCCTTCACAGCATCTCCATCCCCAGCCAGTGTCACCTCCTTGTCAAAAAAAACATCATGCTTTCACTTGATCAGCCCCCTAACTCATGTCCCTGCCTTCACTCCCCTCACCCCAACCCCTGATTCATTCTTCACACAACCAGATGAGATCAAAATCTGACCATGTCACTTCCCTGCTAAACACCCTCCACTGGCCTCCCATTGCCCTCAGGATAAAGGGCAAGCCTTGCCCAAGTCTCCACCTCATCTCTTGACCACGCTCCCACTTGGCAGGGTGTTTCAGGCACGGTTCATGGCTCCTGCAACAGGCTGCCCTCTGAACCCTCCCACACGCCACCGTCTCCTTTGGGAACAGTCTCGTCCCTTTCTTCACGCAGCTGTTAGCTGAAATTATACTTTTTCCAAGCAGCCCTCCCTGTGCCCTGAAACAAGATTCAATCCTCAGCCACATGCTCCCATGCCACCTTAGGTGCTCTGTACCATTACCCTCATCATACTTTATTGTAATTATCTTACCCACTAGATCATACGCTTCCTAAGGGACCTAGCACAGCACTCAGCACACAGAGGAAGCACTCAATAAACAGTGAAATAATGGTCAACTGATAACGGTGATGGGTCATGAAGCAAGGATTATAATTAATCACTTTCTAGATTAAAAAACAGAGAATGACCTTCTTGCTGATGTCAAAAGGAATTCTTTTCTCCTCTTTATTTCCATCTCTGTGACACTTCCCATGTTCTACATTGTACTAGAGGGCTGTGTGTACACGTGTGTCCCCAGAAAGATTACAGCCTGACTGAGGGCAAGGAATATAGCTCACTCTTCTTTTTCACACCCCTCCCCTCCGCCACCCCACAATAAGCAAGGTGCAGTAAACACAGGAGGCGCTCAGTAAATGCTTGTTGAGTGAACGCCTGGGGGTTGCTTCTTTTACACAATGAAGACTCTGAGGACACTCACACTGGGTTATCTGGAAAAATGAGCTCTCTGCGTCACTCCCAACAGATATAGATAACATTAAAAACACCCACTCACAGGAGGCTACTAGCTGCTTCCAAGTGGGAATGACACAGCTGAATTGAGAATGGAGGGAGGGTGATATTTCGATTTTAGGCCATCTGACTGGACTGTCTGCAAACAGGCAAGGGTGATGAAAAATAAAGGCTTGTCCTAAGGACCTCCACACACATAGGGAGAGGCTAGGAACACAACTCATGACCACCTGGCAACTTCCTGCTTGTCCTTCAGCTACCAGCTCAATGTCACCTCACCTGTTAAGAGTTTCTTGACATGCCCTTGTCATGCCCAGCTCCCATCCCCACTCTCCAAAAATCACCTTCCCTCATCCTGTGTGCCCAAAGCACTTGGCACGTACCTCTAACATAGGTGTTACCTGACACTATTGTAGTTACCTGTTCTTACATCTGACAGTCCCATTAGATTCTATTGCTAGAGCCACTACTGTATCTTACCCATTTCTGTATCCACAGTGCCCAACCCAGTGTCTGATAAACAGCAGGGCCATCGGAAATTTTGCCTTTTATTAAAATGGTAAATCGGATACATCAAAAGCCTCATGGGCTACGGAAGGTCCATAACTTACATTGAGCTAAAGAATTAACCTTTCATGAAATTTCTTTTTTAACCACACCTTAATCATGCACCAGTCCAAACACATTTGCATCACTGTCTCACACAAAGACTAATTCGCCAGTCATCTGCAGAGTCCCACTATGGACCCTGCACTGTACTGGGGGCTAAAGCGCCAACAGTGAGTAAGACAAACAGTCTCCACCTTCATCAAAGTTACAGTCTAATGAGAGAGACAGTCAAGAAAGCAAGCAAAGAGGTGTATGCTCCGGCACAGAGCGGACACTAACAAAAACAGGCAATTAGTAGCCCCACCAGGCCCAAAGAGTCTCAGATAATAGGCATTTTCTTCTGGGAATACTTGAAAGTTGCAAAGGCTCGTTTCAAATACAATCTGAAAGATTTTTCTGCTACTCTCTTAGACAAATATGAATAGCAGTCTAGCCACAGAGGGAGGTCAACACAGTCAGCAAAGCAGACTTCACACAGAGCTGACAGAGGAAAAATGGACAACGGCATTCCTCAGTCCTGAGACTACCAGAAATATGGGGGCTCACTAGGATCAGCAACCTCAAAGAGTATCCATTTATTGAGTGCCCACGGGGTGCCAGGCTTGGTGCTAAGTGTTCTACATTCATGATCTCACTGAATCTTCCAGGCAAGCAGCTGAGGAGTCATTAGTGTTGAGCTGACTTCCACTGATCTGTAACTTACACATACTAAATTACGTACAAACACCAGAAAGAGAAGGAAAGGACATAATTTAAATAGTGCAGCCAGTTCCATTCACTATGTGTCTATTCCAGAGCACGTGGTGATGGTACCCATGACTCTGCTGGTCCCCAGACTGATTCAGCTCCCCCCAGCCTCTTTCCACTGAGTGAGCAGTGTCTTTCATATATTGTGGTCACTAAACACAAGCCAACTCTTTCATCTAACGTTCAACCAATAAACCCCAGCTGTGCTATTAGCTTATCAAAAGACGGCACGTTGGTTTCTAAATGGCTCCTAGCCAAAGGATTTTCAAGCTGACTGTGATTTTTGGCTAAATGTGATTTTCACCTTCTGTGCTGACGTTAGAATATAATCATATTCTTCTAGCCCGTAAGGTATGACTTCACTATGTCCCCAATCCACATATAGGGAACTGAGCTTCTATGAAGAAGATTCATGTGAGGTTCCACAACCAGCACGTGGTAGAGTTGGGATCTAAGCCCAGTTTTCTCCAGTCGTTTTTCTTAACCATCACACAGAGCCTCCTCTAGGTTGGCCAGTATTCCAAACCCCTGAGAAGATGGTATGGAGAGTGCAAAGAACATGAAGGCGAGGGTGAGCAGATCAGGGTTCCAGTTCCACTCCTGCCTTTTACCAGCTGTGTGACTTTGTACAGGTCACGTAGCCTCGCAGCTGCCTATCTAGACTGCAGCTAACAGCCAGACTCTACTCAGCACCTGCCCCAGGCTCCCCAGTTAGTAAGATGGGAACACAGCAAAGAAACAGGGACACTAGAATCAATGGTCACAAATTTAAATGGCTATGGGTCAGGCAATGTAAATGAGTACACGAGTGGAGCGGGGACTGCAGCCAACTACAGAGCACCAGGACGCACATTGGCCCAGTGTTCCCAGGCCTTCCAACTTTTCCCAGAGAAGCTAGAACTCTGCAATTCTAAATGTTGGCAACCAACTCAAAATTGTTTCAAACACCATAAGGATTAAATAGAGGATGATGGTAGGTTTCATTCAGCGTGGGCTGTCACTTTGCCACCTTTCAGCTAAATGATCTCAAAGGTCTCTTCCAATAGCCAGGAAGACCTAGAAAGGTTACAGACTCCTCTCAGCAATGAGGGATCTGCCAGTAAAGCCAGGATCCCTTCATAAACCCAGGGAAGCTGAGGGGCATCCTGGCTCCTGTGGATGTGGACATGGTTAGTGGGGTGCCAGCAAACAGTGGGCTGGAAGAGCAGCTCTGCCCCAGTCCCATGGGAAAGGTCAAGACTAGTCTGTGACCTGCAAAAAGAAAGAAACTGGGAGTTCCCGAAGGCTATCAAGCTCACTTGGCTGACGGTCCAGGCTACTGCTTAAAGCAGCCTGACCTTACACTTAAGGGCTTAAACCAGGGAGAGCAAATAGGTTTCATTTAAGGCACCAACTTCAGTCAACTGTGCTAAGGATTCTGAATCCCATGTGAGTATGTGTTGTGACCAATGAGTTGTGACTTCCAGACACAGGAGGGGGAGTAGCAGCACACACTCCGTGTATTTGCCACCCCTGGCTTAAACTCCCATAGGCACTGAATCAGCTTCCAGCAAAGACGGCCCTGACAGGCAGGAGAAGACTAAAGCTCACACCCATGGAAATCCACTGGATGAAGCGGTTTTCAAGCCTGGTATAGCAAAGCTCACCCTGGATGGTCTTTATTGACATATTCATCAAGCATTTACTGACTTATTTGATTTACATCAAGTACTTACTACTCTGGGCTGGGCAGTGGGGAAATGGAGGTGATGCAGAAACTGTTCCTGTCCTGGAGATGCATACAGTACAGTGGAAGAGACAAAAAAGGAAAAAAAAAAAAACCCACAGATAATTATGATCAAATGTGGTAAATGCAATAAAAGAGGTCTGTGGGAGCTGGGGTGGGGGGTGACTTGAACAAAGTAACCTTTGAGTTGGTTCTAGAACAAAGAATGGTTCTCTTAGCAGAGAATGGGGGGGGTGGGGGAGTGTATTCTCAGCAGACAGACCAGCATGTATAATGGTGGAAAACCAAACAGCCTCCCCGAGATATAGGGATAACCTTGACAACACGAAGATCAGGCTGGAAAGGGAGTTCATTAAGGGTCTTGAATGTAAGGCTAAGGTGTTCAGACTTAATTCCATAGGTGATGGGAGTTAATGAAGCTTTTTAAGTAGAAGGCCAAATCTGATTTGGGTTCAATAGATCACGGTAGCTACAATGTGTTTGTCCAAACTGTGGAGGTGAAAAGGTGTAGGCTTCAGAAAAAACCCTGACAAAGAAATGTCTCAAGATACATTAAGGAAACTGAAAGATTTGAATATTCCTGGATGTGGAAGAATGCAAGAGGAATCAGAGGGCGCCTGGTAAAGTGGATGTTGGTACCATTCACTTCCATCAGGCAGAAGGAAAGAGGTGCAGGTTTGGGGAGGAACACAACAGCCAGTCCCACCCACTGAGTTCCAGAGGTCAAGACCATTAAAGAAAGTGTACGGGGGTATCAACTCAGATGTTTGTTTTAGATGAGCAGGTAGGGGCTGGAACACTATTTTTAAGGTCCGGCTTCATGCTCAGGCCCACTCACCTTCACTTCTTGTAGGGCCCCAGAATCCTCTATCCTTCCCTATAAGGTCTCCAGACCCTTCCACCTTCAGAACCTCCCCCGGT